AATAGTCTTCTTGTTGCTCGACGAGTTGGTCGATGGTTGATGTGTTCTTGAATGGTTGGAATCCTTCCTCAAATTTCAAGATTTTTAGGGCAAAACACGCTTTCTTACTCGGAAGTGAAATGTTTTAGTTCTGGATGACCTAAACTTGTTCTGTGAACAGGTTCATCTTTTTGTTTTAAAGAAACATGTAACACTTAGAAGCATTTAGTCTTAGAGGTTGACATCTGCCTTATATAACATCAGATCAGTATATTGTAACTTTATGTTATTCAGCCAGAAGGTTTTGTTGAATATTACAGTGACACGTGTCCTGGTATCAGTCATGAAGTGAGCTTGATGTTCATTGACATAGATGAGCTCTGTCACAGCTGGTTCGAATAGACTACTTATTTTACCTAGGATTGGCTATGGAATTTATTTTAAGGAAAATATATTTTCGTCTACAAATACATGTTCTAATTGAAGTATATCTTTGAATCAGAATATTTTTCTAATGGTGTTTTGTATACAGTACTGACTTCTTGGTGGATGTAACCAACATATTCTCTGTTTTTAAGGATTGTTTCCTGTTTTTGCACATTGTTATTAAAATGTCCCACTTACCTGATAGAGCTGAACATTGCTTTTGTTTCTGTGGGTTTTTTGCTCTATATCTTGGACAGTGACTAGTTACGACCAGTCCCCGGCAAGATTTCCTCAATTTGTTACGGTTCAGGATCGGATACCTCAAACCAGTAAGCTCCTGGCTGCAGAAGTAAGATCGGTCTTCCTGACAGTCAACCCAAGGTAAGCAACAGGTCCAGATGGAGTACCCAGTCATGCACTTAGATCCTGTGTGGACCAGCTGGCGGAGGTATTCACTGACATCTTCGTCCTCTCCCTCCTACAATCTGAAGACCCCACCTGCTTCAAGAAGACCACCATAATCCCAGTACCCAAGAAAGCTCATGCAACATAATGACTACCACCCAATAGCTCTGACCTCAATAATCATGAAGTGCTTTGAGAGGTTGGTCATGGCCCACATCAACTCCAGTCTCCCAGTCTGCCTCGTTCCCTTACAATTTGCCTATCAATGTAGAAGGTCCACAGCGGACGCCATTTCCCGCACCCTGCACTCATCCCTGGAACATCTGGATAACAAGGACACCTACATCAGGCTCCTACTCAGCAACTACAGCTCTGCCTTCAACACCATAATCACTTCCAGACTGATCTCAAAATTCCGAGACTTAGGTTTCAGCTCCACTGTCTGCAACTGGATCCTCAGCTTCCTGACCCACAGGCCGCAATCAGTGAAGATAGACAACTGCACCTCCTCCACAATAACCTCACCACTGGAGCCCAATAAGGATGCATCCTCAGCCCCCTACTGTACTCCCTGTATGCCCACGACTATGTTCAGGAGCGTCACGTTCCTAGGAGTGACGATAACCAACAACCTCTCCTGGACTTCCCACATAGATGTGACAGTCAAGAACGCCCAACAATGCCTCTTCTTCCTTATGCAGTTTAAGAAATTCAGCAAGTCCATAAGGACCCTCACCCACTCTTACAGATGCAAAATAGAAAGTATACTATCTGGATGTATAATGGCCTGGTATGGCAACTGCTCTACCCAAGACCGTAAGAAACTACAGAAGGTTGTGGGTACAGCCCAGACCATCACAGAGCCAGATCATCACGGAAGCCAACCTCCTATCCATGGACTCCATTTACACTTCTCGTTGCTGTGGAAAGACTGCCAACATCATTGAAGACCCTTCCCATCCCGGTAATGATCTCCTACAACCTCTTCTGTCAAGCAGAAGATACAGAAGCATGAACACATGCACCAGCAGGTTCAGGAACAGCTTCTTCCCTGCCATTATTCGACTAATGAATGGACTCTGTAACTTCAAATAATGTTGATCTTGCTAATGTTGATCTTGCTTTGTGCACCTCTTGTGCAGTGTAACCCGTATGCCTTGCTCTGTCTAAGCACCCTATGATCTGTATGTCCTTGTTTGCTATGATTTGCCTGTACTGCTCACAAAACAAAGCTTTTCATTTCACTTAGGTATGCGTGACTACAATAAACCAAATCAAATCAAATCAAAAAGGAGAGAACTGGCTTCTCTTCTTTACTCACTGCCTCCTCAGTTGGTCACAACAATTTAGAAAGTATCCCTTCCCGCCCAGACTCAAATGAACTTATGTTTTAAAATGAGGTGAAACAGTCAAGGTGAAAATTAGTGGCTTTGTAGGTTGATTGAAACTCTTTTGTCCCAATTCCTTTTGGCAATGGCTGACTGGCAGCACTCAGAGTAATAGAGTCTTTTTGCTTTTTAGCTGCAGTGAAATGATGTTTAAGTGGCTGTTATCAGAGCCATGACCCTCACAGCACATCAATCAATACACCAGGGCATCAGGCCACAAACACACACAGACTAGTGCTGAAGCAGTGGTTAGTTTTTATCGCTCCTTTTTTGTATACGCCTGGAAAGCCAAAACACAAAAATTCTGCATCTGAGATGGGGATGACAGTCAGCTCTTTCATTATCGCTTCCTCTTGTGTTTCTTTGACCTTTCAAAGTTTCCCTAACACTCCGGCAACAATGCTTTCTCTAAATACATCTGGTTGTAATAGTTCATGTTCACAAGATTCAGACAATGTATTAGAATAGCGAAATTGACAACAGGTTCTGCTGGAAACTATATAATTATATTGACTAAAAGCAAACTACTCCAAATGCTGGAGATCTGAATTAAGAACAGAAAATGCTGGAGAAACTCAGAAGGTCTGGCAGCATCCATGGAGAGAAATCAGAATTAACGATTCAAGTCTAATACGTCACTTGGACACAAAATGCTAACTCTGTTCCTCTCTACATAAATGCTGCCAGACCTCCTGAGTTTCTCCAGCACTTTATGTTTTTATTTATTTTATTGAATATTGCTCATTTCATAATACAATTCATTCTTACAGTAAAATAGTTGTCAAATACTTTAAGACATCTGTTACTAACTAATTTTTACTAATTTGTTACTAATATTTTTCTAATTTATTCCTTAATGCTGGACGTTTTATTTGTTTTGCCATTTTATTTCCCTTAAGAATTTGTACTTAAGAATCCGTACCTAGGTACCTTTGTACCTAAGATGGCAACATAAGTGGCAACTTGTAAACTTTTCACTGTACTTACTTGAGTACATGTGACAATAAAGCTAATTCTAATATGGTCTGCTATTGGTCATACAGGGGAACAAAAAGGTTAAGTCGTTCTGCTTGTGAGTTGGTGTGTGGACTTGAAGCAACACTATAATCTCATGAATTGTTACTTCCATGCTGACTAATTTGATTCTGTTTGAAGTTTCTGTAACTTCAAATATGACTAGGCTCTTAAAACCTTTTAAAATCATTCACATGCACCTGTTTCTTAATTTTTCTTTTAAGCTTGAATTGTGGTTTCTATTCAATTGCTATAAAGCTTGTTGGAGAATTTCCAGCTTTACAACATTTTTTGAAATTGTAAATACGTTTTCAATTCTGACAAAGCAAGTTAAGATCATCTAATGGAGTTTTAAATTATAATTGGTTGCTGCTTTGTATTGTTTAAAAGATTATTTATTCCATTCATCTTATTTGGAATATGTTCTGTATTTTAAATCGTTAAAGCTTTTTTCAACTCTTTAAATTGTAAAGTTAATATTTTAATAAAGGTTTTTCAACATTTTTGAAGATTTTTAAGAAATCATTTTCAATATTTTAGCAAATGGAACTTTAACTTCCTGATATAAAAACTAAGGCGGTAGTTTTGTGACATTTTGGGCTTTCTCATTGGGAGGTTTTGCATTTTTTGCCAGTTTGATTTGTGCATTTTATTTTTGCCCGTTTGATCAATTTTGGGCAAACGACTCCCAGAAGTTGGTGATCCGCTTTTCATTGTTTCTGACACATACAGAACTGTGAGGATCACTGCTGATCACTACCAGACCATGAGCTTGGTGCCAGGTTTGAGGTTGTTGTCATCAAATACTCAACTGTAGGCTCAAATAGGCTGTACTGGTACAGTGGAGGCAAGGGTGAATTTTATTGTTGATGTCTGCCTTCAATGAAAGGAGAGTCCCAGATTTTGAGGATTGCCCCACATTATTCAGTGGCTTGCCATGAATCTTGATCGTTAGGGGACAGTGTTGTGCACTGGGAGAGGGCTGGTAGAGAAATTTTGTCTTCTGTATGTTTAGCCCAAGGCCCATTCTCTCACAGGCTTCCATGAATGCATCAGCAATGGTTTGGAACTCTGCCTCTGAGTGTGTGGACTTACAAGTATCACCGAGCAGCTCAATCACAGAGGCTGGGGCAGTCTTGATTCTGGATTTGAAGCATCACAGATTGAATCGCTTTCTGCTAATTCTGGAGAGAAGCTGTACTCCAGTGGGAAACTTCATGGATGTGGGGCAGAAGGTGGTAGCAAGGAAGATAGATAGGTGTGAGGAGGTGTGGACAGTAGCTCCACTTTTCCATACTTCCCTACTGTTTTTTCAATCTTATTGTTTTCTGGCCAATGACTTGCTTTAAACCTGCTGCTAGCTCTATTACCTACTGACCCACATTGGCATCTCCTGAAGTTTATTTACCTCATTGCTAATGAACACTATGAGGTAAGAATATGAGTCCATTCTAAAACCAAATCTTGTAGGAAGAGAAGGAAAGAATCTATTAAGTAAATCAAGAAAACGTTCTCAGAGGGGCATAGTTAAGTATGTTTGCAAGATCAACATCAAGTACTCTTAGTCTTGTTGTGGTAATAGTGGAGAATAATGAGCCAGACCTTTCTCTGCCAGTACCAATATTAAGAAAACTAAGAAATTGCAAAAAAGGATGTTTTCAAATGGAGACACAAATATGGGGGAAACCATCCAATTATCTTCTTAAAGATGGCAACAATCAGAAATCTATTCTATTTGAAACCACATAAATTGAGTGTTGACAGAACAGACCATTAGTGAACAAACAAGATTGTTTTATAGTATAAACATCTTTTATTTATTACTTTAGATAAAAATGTATAACTTTTAGTCAGTAACAAAACAAGTTAAAAAGATGAGTATATTTACAAGTAGAAGCTCTTATTTAGGTCTTCCATTTTCTTTATAAAGTACATGAATGCAGATTTCCATATTAATTCATCATTATTTCCTTGAAAAAGATTAAGGAGACCTGAAATAATCCATTTTAAACTTTAGCAGCATCTACGTGGTCACAACAAAGCATGGCATATAACAACCTATCATTTTTTGGTCTGTCAATGTAAGAAAATACATTAGTTTCATTCTGTACCTCGATGTGATTGTGTTGTAATATTAAATAGCACAGTTATGGCACTGGTGTAGAGGAAGGTAGCATAATTTAGTACAGTATGTTACCAGATGCAATATTGCTTCTGTATTTTAATGCATAACAGGAGGGATAGTGCCGTGCATTTGTAGCTTTATGCAACCTAAAACTTTACAGTATAAGTTGCAACTGCCATTCCCTAATTTCAGATGCAACACTGGGAGAAGCTGGATGAGAGCAGGAAATCTGAATATAAACCTATGAACTTCTGGTCAGAGGAAACCACCCACATGTAATTCTCAGCAGCAAGTAACAGAGTGATACTGGGGGAATGTCATTTGAGTATGTTGCGAACCATGGTAAAGTCTAGCAGGGGAATAACTATTAAAATATCTTGAGAAGCAGAAATAAATGAAGCCTGAAAACTACACGAGAAAACTTTGCAGATTCAGAGCTTGCAATCCTACTGTTTTATCTATTATAGCAATTTTAAGGAGCCAAAAATGAAACAAATTTGTTTCAAAAAATTTTTAAGTTAACCAAGATTTCATTCATCACCAAGCATTCTATTCCAATCATTTTTAAAGTGGACATATAAAAATACACATACAGAATTAATTCTAAATGGACTTTAGCGCATTAGTTAAAATTATGCTTACTATAAATCCAATTAATGTTTATTTCCATTCAAAATTAAATTACTAGTTACAAATCCTAAAGCAACTCATGATTCATAATGAAATAAGTATTTGCATCATATGCTTTATAAATAATGATTTCTGAAAAGCAAAATATACTTTATCACCAAATATGGCTGATAATTTCAAAAACTTGGAAAAATAATATTTTAAGTGCAAGAATGCTGTTCCTGAAATAATGTTTATATCAAAGCAGCTTATCAGCTTAATGATGGAGGCCATTGTTTCAACTGACATTATTGTGGATAATTTATACAGCAGAGAGAAAGGAACTAACTAAAACTGCAACACCTTGAAATATCATCACAAATTTATAGGACAGACCCATAAATGATACAAAGTAGCCTCAGGTAGTAGATACTTAATGGTTACGTTTCTACAAAAGAAATGCAGTTATGTACCCATCAAGTGAAAACATTTCTAATTTCTCAAGTTTTTGATCATGACCTCTGACCCCTTTTCCCTGATAGCAGCCTAGGAAATCCATGCTACATCTTTTCCAATATTATACCCATAATGGGCAAACTGAGCTCATCTCCAGCTGAACCTTACCAAATCTTAGAGATGTTTAATTTGCCACTCTATGTCTCTGAATACGGACCTAAAGATTCTATCCACGGACACACATAGCAAGGGGCTGTAGGTTTAAATGTGAAATTTAAATCTTGTCACCACTCATTTGCATCTACCTCAATTTTCTGACACTGATACTCGAAGCTCCGATTTAGGATGTATTTACCAGTGATGAAACAGTATTAGGTAATCCCTTCCTCAAACTGCACAAAGTACAAAGAGATCAAACCAGTGAATAAGAAATAGAACTGAGACGCTTGAATTTTATGGGCAGACTGACCGTCCTGATCGCTACATTACAACAGTGACGAAACTTCAAAAATATTTCACCAAATGTGAAGTACTTTGGGATATCCTTTGATCATGAAAGATGCTAGATAAATGCAAAACTTTCTTTTCTTTTAAAATAAATGGTTTGTTCATATCATCAAAGATTGGAATGCCAACAAGTTTGTATCTGACAGTAGATGTACGACAATATATTTAAAAGTATTTCCTTCTATTCTAAATGCAAGATTGGAATGTGCTATTCTGTCAACATGTATCTAACTTTCCAATTCACCATTTGTAATTTGTCAGAACTGGATGTTAGTCATTATTAATACTTTGCAGCTTTTAATGGTCAGGCAATTGCAATAACTGAAGTTTAGATTGGAAAGTGGGCTGTGTTGAGCAGATTTTAAATGTTAAAGATTAACTAAAATTTGATGTATACTTGGTTCAGAGATTGAGCCAACGCACACAAAAAGTGCTCCTTTTTTTAAAAGGTATGTTATCCTGCATGCTGTGCGGTAACTGCTCAGTGATGGTAGGTTGAGACTTTAACAGAGCCAAATCCAATCACTGAGCTCCCTGGTTACAAAACGAAGTTAATTCACTATCTTATTCAGACTTTTATTCCAAGGATAAGACAGAGGGGGCAATGCTGGGAACAATTTTAATTGTATTCACTTGGTGATAACAGTTAACATTTCCACCATCAACAATAAAAACAAAGTTGCTGGAAAAGTTCAGCAGGTCTGGCAGAATCTGTTAAGGAAAAAACACAGTTAACGTTTCAGGTCCGGTGACCCTTCCCCAGTTCCGAGGAAGGGTCATCAGACCCGAAATGTTAACTCTGTTTTTTCCTTCACAGATGCTGCCAGACCTGCTGAGTTTTTCCAGCAACTTTGTTTTTGTTCCTGATTTACAGCATCCGCAGTTCTTTTGGTTTTTATTTAACATCTCCACCATGCTTTTAAACTCTTAAATCAGCTTTGAACAGGTGTATCAAAGCCCCGATCTTATTTTTATTCAAATAAAAGACACTGCAGCTCTGTATTCTGAAGGTGAAAGAAAAATATACCCCAAATGCTAAGCTTCTTCTGTAGCATATGTGATATTTGTACAATCTATTATTTTATACAGCATATTGTAAATTTTAAATACAAACATTAACTAGTCAGGACATTAATTCTTTAGAAGTAGTAAAGTCTTCACATTACATTGTAAATTTTGGCATTCTTTCATGGATGACGATTTTAGGAAGGTTGTACTCATTAGTTGTAGACTTGTTGGTGGCGAGTAAGGCCTATTTGAGACCAACAATGTCTCCAAGTAAGTGCAAGTGAAGGCGCAGTCACTACTGGGACAATTGGATCTATGCCTCTCCTCCTTTTGCTTATTATATTGGCTCATCATTCAATCTCAAAAGCATCTGTAGCTCTACTGATGTAGCATCTCCAGACATCGTGACCTGTGGCGTGTGCATCCCAAAAAAGCAATGGTCAATGTGAGGAACTTCTCCAGGGAGTGCTTCAAATTATTACATGGGACACCACCCACCATTCGATTCAGCTTTTCGTACAACATGGTCTTTGGCAGGTGACTATCATCCACTAGCCAGCATCAATCATCCAACCCAACTGGGCTTGGTGGGAGCATGTCCTTGATGCTGGTGATGTTGGCTGGTCCCAGGACCTCAATGTTTGTGATGGGATCCTGCCAGTGATTCATGAGGATGCTATTGTGGAAGGAACACTGGTGGAATCTTTCCAGAAGGCGTAGATATCAATGGCAAAGGTCCAGGACTCAGTGCCATACAGAGGAAGGTGAGGACTATGGCTTTGGACACTGACTTTGGTGTAAATAGGTTTCAAACAATATTTAAAAAATCATCTTCCTCCTTAAAAATTGTTAAGGGACCATCAAAAGATTACCTCCTGATGTCAACTGTGGCAGCAAATTGCTTTTTTATTTTCTCAAAACACACATTAAATTTCATTAAATAATCCTTTTGGGAGGTGGATTTTTCTTCAAGTTTTCACAGTATGCACAGATTTCCATCCATTTTTTTTTAGAAATGAAGTTTTGAGGGCTGCACTAAAAAAGTAAATACAGAAATCAATTGAACTTTCAGATATTTCATTCACAGTGTTTTCTGAAATGTTTTCTTTAAAAATAGAGGCGTAACTCTGCTACAATTTCCACTTCGTTGTAGAAGCACTTTCACCCTCTCATAAACAGTTTGTTTCGACCTGTTTAAAGTATGGTCCCCTGAGAAGGTGTTAGTTTCATGAGCAGAATGATAAATTTGATCTAAGGTGCAAAGTACACAACCTGAGAGACATGCAGTCTGACACAATAGAGTTTTCCATAGCCTTGCATTCAAAATAACGTGCTGCCGAATCTGTCACTGATTCCCTTAGGTCACTTTTAGCTGAGACTTGTTTTCTGCGAAAAGGAATGAAACGTACGGAACACCAATGAAGGCCCACTTCTCGCTAGGCCAAAACTTGATGACTGGGCCTTGTTCCGGGATTTCTGAGACAGCATCAAAGTAAGCAAAACAGACACAACCCAGATAAGCAGCCAAACAGATCAGGATATGCCTTGAACAAAAAACAGAAGGAAAAGAAATCATGAGAATGCAATAATATTTTCAAAATACTGTCCCTAAAACAACTGAACAACGGGTTTTTTTTCAGGAATCAGTCTCCGTTTTACACAATCCGACAATCCAACGTTTGTCCATTCCCTATTGATTTGTGAAGCGTTTTTTTTTCCCACATAGTTGTCACTCTGCTTTGACTAAATGTAACGAGAACAATCCTGATCTATCTACAGATTTTCTGAAAAATAATCTCACTTCCAATTTTTTTGTTTACTTCAGTTACAGATGCCTAATGCTTCACAATATTGTTAACAATAACAAAGTTTGCAGGGTATAATGCAGTTCAGGGTTGAGATAACATCAACAGAACATTGAGTTTCTTTCCTGAAGTTTACAATGTTATTCCAGTCTTGAAATGAGTCATTGCCTTTGACACAAAGGCACGGTATTTGATGTGGCACATAAAACACATCCTTAGTTACTGTTGCATACAGATGTTAATTAGTTGTGCTGTGGTTAACCATAATGAACAAGTTTCTTGGTTTGAATTACTTGATTAGAACAGTAACAATACTGTAAATAACTGAGGTAACTTCTACTGATACTGGATATTGCTAACATAAGAGTATTGAATCTGTAGGTCTGTCAATTCAAATTTTCATTCCAACAATTTTCAAATATCAATCTTGATAACATTTTCAATTGTTACAGAATCCATATTCTTTTGGAGAATTGGATTCTATAGAGTTAATGCTCATTGTGTGGAGAAAAAAAGTTCCTGATTTCAATCCCAGTTTGAGGATTTGTCCTCTTGGTCTGGATTTCTCAGGAAATAGTTTCTGTTTATCTACTCTATTACTAGAAAATAATAGCAGGGTATTTAGAAAAGCTAAACATAATCAAACAGGATCAACATGATTTTGTGAAAGGGAAATCATGTTTGACAAACTTGCTCCAGTTCTTTGAGGATAGACAAACAGAGTTAATAAAGGGAGACCAGCAGAAGTAGTGCATTTGGATTTTCAGATGGCATTTGATAAGGTGCTACATAAAAGCCTATTGCATAAAATAGCAGCTCACATTACCAGGGGTAATGTATTAAAATGGATTGAGGATTGGTTAACACACAGAAATCAGGGAATTGTGATTAATGGGTCTTTTTCAGGTTGGAAAGACTTAACTAGTGGAATGCCACAAGAATCAGCCTAAGGCCTCAATTACTTACTATCTATGTTCATGAATGGGGGATGTGGTAAAGTGTAATGTATCCAAGTTTGCTAATGATACAAAAATAGATGGTAAAACCATACTGTCAATGGAAGAGATCCTTTCATTTTACTTTTTAAGACTTCAGGGTATAAGTGTTTCTGAATCATAATGGTATTGTCATCCTAGCTTGATGGAAACTTGGCAACATTTATTTATTTTCTTTTAGAGATCTTGGAGCTTTTTCATCCTCCAAACCATATTAATGTTTAATGCCTCAGTTGACAAGACCAGGATAACTTTCAGGCTTGGGCTGGATCAATAACAGGAAATTCCACACAATGACTATATTCAAGAGACAGATGACTTGCATCTCTTTGGCAATTAACGATATTACCATAACTGAATTCCCACCATCAACATCATCGAATGGAAGGAGGTTGAGAATTTTGGTACTGATTGATTCCCTAAAACATTTCCACCATCTTCAAGGCACAAGTCAGGAGTATGTGGTAGAATACTCTCTGCTTGAGGGGAGGGTTGATTAGCTCAGTTGGCTGGATGGCTGGTTTGCAATACAGTGATACCAACAGCTTGAGTTCAATTCTTGCACTGGCAGAGGTTACCATGAAGGACTCTCCATTTCAACCTCTCCCTTTGCCTGAGGTGTGTTGATTTTTCAGGTTAAACCACCACCAATCTTCTCTCTCTAATGAGAGAGCAGCCCTCTGGGTCTATGGCAAATTAACTATACTCCCCACATGGTTGGATGAGTGCCATTAGAACAAAACTCAAGGCACCATTCAGGATAAAACAATCTGTTTGATTGGCAATCCATCCCTATCTTAACATTCACTCCTCCACTACAGGTGCAAAGGAGCAGTGCTGTGTATCTTCTGCAGGATGCACTGCAACAACTTAGTAAGATTTCTTAAAAAAAACAGCGACTTGATCAAAGGCAATATTGGTTAGCAATAAATGCTGACTTTGCCTTGTATGTCCATATGACATAAATAAATAAATATAAACTCTGTTTTACCAGACTAGCTCCCAAGAACTGAACCATTAGTTCTAATGTTGCAGCAAACGCAAGAACAGAAAGAAGACCGGGAGTTCCACAGAAAAGTCTTACAGAACTCAATCCCATAACTGTGTTCCTCTCCCCACAGATGCTGCCAGATCTGCTGAGTTATTCCAGAACTTTGTGTTTCAGTGCTAATGTGCTGCTTGAAGCAAATGAACAAGATCAAAGTCAGAAGTTTCTATTTCAGGGGACTGGTCGAATGTTGGCAAATGGAAATTCTGTCAGTAAATTTGAGAGCAATTTTCTTCACCTGAAGAATTCCTCATAAGGATTCCATGTTCCCTGCTCTAAAATACTCACCAACATGAGCAACAGATTATAAGTTTAGTAGGTCCAGAATGTTAATCTAGAGGCAACAGCTAGGTGGGTGTCATTTCCTGTAGGGGAACATTAGCAAGATTCTGCTGCCCATTTTGTGTAATAAAGTACTGAAGGTCACTCTGTATTTGCCTCACTTTACAATGAGGAGGTTTACAGAGTCATTGAGGTTGCCACAAAGAAGATAAAGGTTATCATTACTTGTTAACGTGTAACTCACCAGGCACAATGTAGGTACGGAAAGTTGAATGCAGACCAGAGTTCACAGAAAAGGTTGTCACTAATCCAGCACAGTATAGCGAGAGCCCACCAAAAACCTGCCAAGAGACCCAGCTTGTAAACACGGATATTTTCACACCTGAAACAGCAGAAAACACTCAGTTCAGTATTTGAAGAAAAGTTTAAGGTTGTGGGTCCATGCGGTAGAACCATTGGCAGAATTTTCAGCTGGTGATCCTTGTTAAAACGATTGGGAGCGGAGTGAGTCAGGTATCTGTTGACAGCTTCAGTGGGCTTTATCAAGGTTCTTTCCCAGAGTTGTTACGTTCCTTGGTCAATCCAGCAGAGCTGACGGCATGTCACACTCAATCTGGCAAAGGAAGGATTTCAAATTGAAGAGACCCAAATATGGGTCACATGGGTCAACTGGCATGGATTTCTAAGGCTGTGGGAAACACAGGAATGGGGATCTGATTTGGGAAGGCTGATGCTCAGATCATTCACTCTGGTGTGGAGGTCCAGCTGCAGGATCTGAAGGATTGCATTGAGGTGAAACCCCCCCAAAAATAGGACCAATACAACAATATCTCAAACAAATGGACACGGATGAAAGTGGCCACAAAAATTGGCAATGGAGGCACCTCTAACCATGAGGCATTTCATCAATGTGGTTCAGGGACTCAGAAGGGCAGCAGGTGACAGACATGTCACTTCCAGGTACCAAACCCCATGCTCTCACGTTCCCAGTATTCCCCAGGATAGCTGTACCTTTCTCTGCAGGTGCCTCACGTCCCCGCCTCAGGAGTCAACATTCACACCGATACTCATTCTGTGAACTTATCACGCATGCACGCTTCATTGTCACCCTCGACACAAGCCACACAGGTCATGACAAACGTTTACAATTCTCTGCCCACTCCCCTTGCAGGAGAACAAAGCACACACCTCAATGGAAAGGTTGGCCCCAGGGAGGATGGCTTTGACAGCCATTGACAATGCATGTCCACCAGGCACACTGGGAAAAGTGTCAAGTTCAAGGAGGCACTGATCTCAGCAACAGCCTGCTGTAAAAACTTGAGCTTCCTGAGGTACAGATGCTCACTGGTGCCTATCGACCCTTTTTTGCGAGTCTTGTCTCTTTGGAGCTAGATTTCTGCATCCATCCCCTCTGGTTGGTGGAGTGGTCTGTACTTAAGGACAATGCTGGGGTTGCTTCTGCTATTGGTATCAGTTGCTGTTCCCGTTCCTCTTCATTACAAGTGTGAGGTGGATAAGCTGCTCCCGTGCTGTTCTAAAGGCTGACATTAGGGAAGTGTAGACTAGTGAATCACTTCCAAGAAGTTGGCAATGACCCGTCAAACAGTCAGAGTCCTCTCTGAGAAGGAGTGCAGAGAGCAGCCGCTTCTCCCCTGCTCTCTGTTACAACTGTTCAGTTTCACTCCAAAAGGCTACCCAGCCTGTCAGTTTCACTGAGCAAATACTCCTTACTGTGTACTTGCCTCAGTGAGCCTGGTGAGTTGCTCACATCTTGAGGAATAGGCTGACTGACTGTTAAATAAAAAGCGAAAGAACTGCGGATGCTGTAAATCAGGAGCAAAAGCAAAGTTGCTGGAAAGGCTCAGCAGGTCTGGCAGCATCTGTGAAGAAAAATACAGAGTTAACTTTTCGGGTCTGAGGAAGGGTCACCGGACCCAAAACATTAACTCTGTTTCTTTCTTCACAGATGCTGCCAGACCTGCTGAGCTTTTCCAGCAACTTTGTTTTTGTTTCTGACTGTCAAAGTCTGAATCTTTGGTGAGCCAAATCAGATATGAATCCCAACCCAACTTTCATATTTCAGGGATTTAAAACCCCACGCACATCAAAACCTGTCCCTCCTCTTACATGAAAACTACCCCCCCCCCCCCACACACTACCCCAACCTTTTCTCCAGGGTGGGTAGATTTGCAAGGATGACAATTCAATAAAACATTATAGTCACATTTGTACTTTGACACTGGCAATGAGTTGCACATTTCTTCTAACCTGATTCTCCCTCCCTTCTGTTAGCATAGCTTCCTCTGCATGATGGCTCAGTGGTTAGCACTACTGCTTCACAGCACTAGGGACCTGGGTTCAATTCCACCCTTGGAAGACTGTCTGTGTGGAGTTTGCACGTTCTCCCTGTGTCTGCATGGGTTTCTGCCAAATGCTCCGGTTTCCTCACACAGTCCAAAGATGTGCAGGTTAGGTGGATTGGCCACGCTAAATTGCCCTGTAGTGTCTACGTATGTGCAGTGTTACAGATAGGGTGGGGTGCTGGGTCTGGGTGGGATGCTCTTCAGAGAGTCAGTGCAGACTCAATGGGCCAAATAGCCTCTTTCCTCACTGCAGGGATTCTATGAAGCTATCAAAAAATAATCCAGAGCACAACTGTGCTGACTGGAACGTGGGTATTGCTAGTTAACCTTGAGAGGTAGATGATGAGCTACCCTCATGGTAAACAAGTGGTTTGCTGGGCCATTACTAGGGTCAGTTCAGAGTTAAATTCTTCAGAGTCTGGAGTCACATACAGGTCAGCTTGGACAAGGGTGGTAGATATCGTTCCCTTCAAGATATTAGTGAACCAGGTCAGATAACAATCAGCAGGCTTGCTGTCACCATTGCTGATTTGTTATTCCAGATCTATTCAGTTAACTGAGTTTTAATTTTCCAGCCTGTGGGTTGATGTGATCTCATGTTCTGATTGTTTCAGAACTGCTATTCCAGTAACATAGGCACTATGCCACTGTGCCCTAGCAGACACTTTACTCTGCGTAATATTCATTAACATTAGCAATTGGGAAAAAACAGTCGAAGGGTGGTTTTCAGAATGGAGATTGGTAACTAGTGGTGTTCCATAGGGATCAGTCTTGGGTCCTCTGTTGTTTGTAGTATATATAAATCAGCTGGAGGCAAATGTAGGTGGTCTGATTAGTAAGTTTGCAGATGACACGAAGATTGTGGAGTTGCTGATAGTGCCAACGATTGTGAAAAGATACAACAGGATATAGATAGATTGGTGACTTGGGCACAGAAACAGCAGTTGGAGTTTAATGCAAGGTGATACATTTTCGAGAATCAAATGTAGGTGTGCATTATACTGTTAATGGCAGAAGCCTTAGGAACATTAACGTACAGATAGATCTGGGTGTGCAGGTCCACAGTTCCCCAAAAGTGGCTACACAGGTGGCCAAAGTGATAAAGAAGGCATATGGCATGCTTGCCTTCATTGGCCGGGGCATGGAGTACAAGAGTTGGCAAATCATGTTGCAGCTATATAAAACCCTTGTTAGGTCGCATTTGGAGTATTGTGCGCAGTTCTGGTCACCACATTACCAGGAGGACGTGGAAGCTTTGGACAGAGTGCAGAGAAAGTTCACCAGGATGTTGCCTGGTTTCGAGGGAATTGGCAACGAGGAAAGGTTAAAAAGACCAGGATTGTTTTCACTGGAAAGACAGCAGCTGAGAGGAGGCCTGATAGAGGACTACAAAATTATGAGAGGCATAGAAAGGATGGATAGTCAGAAGCTTTTTCTCAGAGTTGAAGTTTCAAGCACAAGAGGGCACAGGTTCAAGGTGAGAGGGGGAAAGTTTAACGGAAATGTGGAGGGAAGATTTTCACGCAGAGAGTAGTAGGAGCCTGGAACACACTGCCAGAAGAGGTGGTGGAAACAGGCATTTAATTGGTGACATTTAAGAGGCACCTGGATGTTACATGAATAGGGAGGGAATAGAGGGATACAGACTGAATAAGGGCAAAAGGTTTGTTTTTTAGTTTAGTCAGGGCATGATGATCAGCGCAGGCACGGACAGCTGAAGGGCCTGTTCCTGTGCCATAGTTCCCTTTTGTTCTTTTGTTCTTTGTTCAATTCGTATAACTACTAGCTGCAAAGAAAAAAGCCTACAGAAATCTGTCGCATTAAGCTGAGGAGCAACTGGGTGAAGCAGTGTGATAAAGGAAGTATGGCTGACTCCATGCTAACCCATGCATCTCACACAATGGCTTGCTTGTTCTCTGCCTATTAACTCCAACTGCTATGGTTGAATTGCAGTAACATACATACTCAAAGGCAATCAATGACAACTACATACGTGTCGCGCATTCCCATTTATTTGCTAAAAAACAGCTGTTCGCTATTGGATGCCACACAGTTCCAAACATGGCTGAAACGCCCTATTCCCTGCAGGTACGTTTTCAAGCTAGGCTAGTGCCACAAGCTGCCTACGACAATTTTGAGACAAGCTGTTATCATTGCTCTCTTTTCCTACATAAATTGTACTCCTAACCAGAGCCTCGAGTTAGAAAAGCAGCTATTTTTATTAGCAAATGCCAGTTGCATTGATTACAGTCCTTTAACCGTAGACTTACCTATTGTCACTTACGCATTAAAGATTAATTTCTATGTCTAACATGCGAAAAGATACTAAGCTGATTCTGTGCAGGACATCCTGAGCCTTATTATTGCTGCTGAGGGAAATGACCTTTCCATTCCTGCAATTTCCTCTTGTAGAGGTCATTCAATGCTAGCTAAAACTCTGACAAAACTTTGCAAAAATTACAAAAATAACTGGTTGAAAACAAAGGTAGAGCAAGTGGGTTCAAACATCACAATTATGATCCAAATTCCCTCTTCTATTCCCACCAATATCTGTATTAAATCCTGTGAAACTGCTGCACTTTACAGTTGGGAAGCACTAACATGAGATTACAGATATTAGAAGGGATTACACACTTGCTTCTCACTTTGACTGAAAGCTGCTTTAATTAAAGGCAGAGTTAACTATATGTGAAGAATTAGCTATAAATATGCCAAATCAAGATATAAAGCTTTTGCAGACCTACTGATAAACAAGTCTTCTCCCTCACTTTACACAAAAGCATTTAATCCTAAAATCATTAGTAAAAACACAATTCATTCAAGGTCATATTTATACAAACCATATTCGAATTTCAAGTGTAACATTTTGTGCAAGGTTAATTAAATCGTAGTAAAACACCACGATCTAGGCATGGAGTAACTGGGAAAATTATGTTAAAAATAGAAAGTAAATTTTGTACAGGATACTTAGGTCTGTTCATTCTGTAACAGATATAAGTGTAAAATCTTTCATTTCAAT